GACTTCACCAAGGAGTAATAACCCCTTTCATCAAAGAGTCATATCTAGACTAGAGAAACTGGTGTTCATGGAAGCTAACTGCTCAAGGTGATGAAGCTAATAAAATACAAAGACTAGCTCTGAATCTAGGCCAGTTTGATCTCCAATTTTCCCTAGTGTTCACTCATACTGAGTACAAAGCAAATTAAAACAGAAAAACCATGATACATGCAAAAATAAAGGAAATATTAAAAACGAATTTTAGAATGGCTTAGAAATCAAGATCAAGAGAGATCAAATTTAGGAGTGCATCTTAATCCAACTTGAACAGTAATTATAACATATGTCTCACCCAAGAAGACCAAGTAAGCAAAATGCTACCTTTGATCCATCAATCAGGAAGAGTTCCAAGAGAATATGGGTATTTGTATCTCCTGTACTTGAAATTAGAACATGACTGATACAAAGCAGTACTCAGGTTTTGTTGAAATCATGAGAAACCATGTAAAAGGAATTCTCATTTGAACACACACAAAAGTTCAGAAATAAAAGACAGCAAAGCAACAAATGTAAAACCATTTAAACTGCTAGACTGTCCCTCTTTAGCCCTCAACTATAAAGCAGAAACCAAAAAATCACCACCATCAAGGTATCAAGTAAAGTCGCCTGTTATAAAACATTAGCATCAGTTTTACAGGACAAGGTAACCAAAAGGCTGAAAAGAGGCTTTGCATTATGTATCATCTCTGTGGATGATCAAATTTCGGTGCCATGGACTTGAGAATATTGGCTTACTGCAGTAACATTTCAAACTGCTCCAAGCAGTGCATGTAACAACTGCTTTAAAAAGAAAATGGTTACTTACTCCAAATACTCTAAAAATAATCAACAACTTCTGTATCATAGGTAGCAAGTAGTGAAATGAAAATCTAAAATCTATTGATTTAAAGAAGCAACAATATGTTTACAAATGGTTTTTCTTTTCCCAATTTTGACACTAGGAACATGTGAGGAAAAAAAAAAAAAAAAAAAAAGAACACTGGGCATTAAGGGGGACAATCCCTCGAAAGAAGATAAGCCTTTCCACAGAAACGCTTCTTAAAAAGGAGGAGGACTGGGCCACACAGGCTTCCTTCTCTATTTTTCACCAGTGCATCTAATAAGTCTTCTTTGATGGGACCAATGAATAACTGTCACTTATCACAAAACATCTTCCTGATACGTACTTTCTATATTGCTTTCTTCTCAACAGACAGTTCTTCAACCTGCACAGGTCTCTCCACTGCAATTTGTCTTATTTCTATTATACTGCATGTCTTCCACAAATATCTTCAGGATCAATTTAATAAACTCCCATGCTTTCCAAAGCTGTTCTCAAAAGGCAATACCATTACTGTACCTCAACTAATATTATGACATTATTTTCTCTCTTTCTCATTTAGCTCTACCACTATGGTTTAATTTTTCAGGGTGGTTACATCTAGTATATTACATTCATGTAGAAGACAATGAATACTTTCTCTCTATTCAATTAATATCCACTTGGTGCAGTGCTACCTGTCCCTAACTTTCTATCAATAACCACAGACAATATTTTGTCTTATCTTTTAAAAATTAACACCACTGCAAAATTTTTGTACTATTTTATATACTGATTTTAGCATCTCAAAATTTTTGTTGTTGTTGTTGGTGGCTCTGGGGACAAAACTGGAAGTCCTTTCATGTGAGGTAAGTGTTCTCTCTACCCCTCAGCCACATCGCTGACCCATCAGACTGATTTATTTATTATTTACTTTTGAGATAGGGAATCACTGTGTATGTCTAGCTGGCCTGGAACTCACTGAGGTTTGCCTGCCTCTGCCTCCTGGGTGCTGAGATTAAAGGGGTGCACCACCATACCTGGCCAGGCTGATTTTATTTTTTATTTTTTCCTGTCAGTACTGGTGATAGGACCCAATATCCAAGGGCTCATATTAGATATAAAAAGCAAGTGGTCTATCATTTAGCTATACTTCCAGTCTAAGAAAAATTTGTTTCTTCTTTTATTGAAAATAGCTTTTCAAAAAATAGTTTTGATTAGCTCCCCTGCTGCCCACCTCCAGTCCTCCAAGTTCCTCCCCTCCGATCCGAATCTACCCCTTAATAATAAAATACAATAACATATCGGAATAGGACAAAATAAGAAATGGAGCCAAAGCAGGCTTGGGGGTAGGGGAATGGAGAACAAGAAACTCACAGATGCAGAGACACACACATTCACAGACACAGGAATCCCATAAACTCTCCAAATTGGAAGCCATAACATATGCACAAAGGCATAAAGAATAATAATAATAAAAAGCACTGACTCTACAAAGATGTATTGAATTCATTTTGTTTTGGCCATGTACTGCTAGGCATGGAGCCTATCCTCAAGAATGGTTGGTTTCCCCAGTGAAACTCCTTTAGACAAAACTGATTTTTCATTTGTAAGTGGCTATCAGTTGGAGAGAGCTTGTGGGTTAGGGAAGGGGGCTCATGCCTACTTCTCTTTTCAGCTCTAGGACAGCCATCTAGTGCAGACCTGTGCAGGCCCTGCTCATGGTGTTGCAGTCTCTGTGTGTGTCATATATATGTTCTTAGAAATAAGAATTACTTTTTTTATGTCCATATTAAGGTAAAAAAATATTTTCATGTTTAGTTTAAAATATTCTCTACTCTAGGTGCAAGCTATGAAATTAGAAATATATACATCTTAATATTGGAAGGCAATATAATTTTAGGTTCAAGATATCTCGAGTTTAAAAAAAGGTTGAGATTTTTACAAAATGAAGTCCAAAAATAGACTGAGTCTGCCAGCAAACATACACATATATGCTGTGTTGCTTGACAAGAGAAGCCAAGGAATCAAAATTGTTGTTTATTTCCACTTTAGATACCGCTTCTTGTAAAAAAGAAAAAAAAAGAAAGAATAATACAAGAAAACAGGAAATTCTGTCTTATTCACCTTTTGTTCTTTGTGAATTATTTCCCCCTTACTCAACATATGAGCTGAACCCATCATCCTTGTGCCATGCCTTAAAACCTTAACTAGAACTCAGTTTGAAATCAGTGACAAATTCGATTAAATTACAAAGGGGGGAAACGCAATAAAACGCATCTTTCATAAATGCCACATATAAGCTACATGAAAACAATATTAAGGTTGATGATGCTGTTCTCGGGCATTGGGCAAATCCTTCAGTCCTAAAGTCTAAGTATGTAGCATACTGATTACATCTATTAATGTAATATTAAATTTAAGTACTGCACTACGATATTCTCCCTTTGCAAACATGAAAATGCCTCGTAATTTATGTGAGCCATTCGGTCCTCTAACCAATAAACTACCTCCTCAAAAGAGTGGGTAGAGTTCCTGCTTCCAGGTCTAGGCAGAGACCACGCTGCTTCACTCAGTCAAGGACACCCTTGACTAGGGTGCACGAGAGGGCACCACAAGAGTCACAACACAAAATATGCAGTCTTGCAGAGAATTTTAACAAGGTGTTTTGAATTCTTTGGAGAAAACATAAAGGAAATCTTGCTGGGGAGAAAATTTCCATATAATACGTAAAGACAAAATACATAAATTCTGAACGTGGCCTGGTGATTATAACCACCTAGGGGAAGAACCGAACTTGTGGCCTGAAAACAAGCCCCCCAAGGCTGTAGAAACTGTCTTTCAGATTCGCACAAACCAACACCTTTTCTGGCTCTCATCAGCACGGGAAGTGGCTTGGACACCCCCCAAAACATCCTCCTACCCCACAGGAAGTGAGTTATATTTCCCCCTCCCCTATGACAGCATGTCTCCCTTCCCCCAGCCGGAAGTGAGGCGCCCCCATTCAGTGGGCCTCAAACCAAGACAAACCAATAACAGCAGCAGCAAAAGAGGGATGATCTTCAAAGGGGGAAGGACATCTCGCCTGTGGCCGCCCCCATGCTTACTAACCTGCTGACGGGGGGCAGGCAGGGGCCTGGGGACTAATGAAAGTCCCTTGCACAGAGGACAATTCCCTCAGCCCCTCTCAATCGCCTCCACTCTTCACTCCGTCGTCTCACAGCTTGACAGAAATTCCTCCGCAGTACTTTATTTTGGTGTCTTTTCTTACTCTTTTCCTAATCACTTAGCCACCTCCAGATAGGTAACTTCTCCTATCGTGATGGTATTTAGAATTATTCCGGTGAGGAGAGACGTGAAATATTATACCCTATACTTTCAGAGAAGTGAAGGGATTATTTTGCCCAATGCGGCGAAGGACTACGTGACTACGCAAGGTGAGACTCACTTTCGCGAAGGTCTTTGGGAAATGTAGTTTTTGTCTTACCTAAGACTCTCAAAAAATAGTGGAACTTAAATTGGTAATTATTATATACTGGAGTCTTTGAGAACACTTATTCTGTACTTGACCACGGACTGGCATAAGATGAGTAGGTCCCGAAAAGGTCCAAAACTGCGCTGTTAATTTCCACTGGCGTTTAATTGAACCCAAATTCCCCATCACGTGGGCTCAAGGTCCCGGTTGCCCCGCCCTCTAGTTTTGGCCCCGCCCCTTAGCCAATCAGACCTTCTCTAGGTCTTATTCTCCGGATATTGGCACTCCGGGAGGCGTGGCCTCTTGGCAGCTCCTCCCGCGGGGCTGAGTGGAGAGCTCGGAGATGCCGAGCTTCGGTGCGCGCGCGCGCGCGCGCTATCTCAAGAACTGAAGCGGACGAGGGTGCGCGCGGCAGGGCGGCTTGCGGGGTTGGGAGGAGCGAGCAGACTGGTAGGCTGGGTGGACGGCGAGCGGCCGGGAGCGCGCTGTGGACTCCGCGGCCGCGAGTAGTTAGTTAGTTGTGTCAGTTGCTCGGTGGCGGCGGCCGGGATCACCAGAAAGGGGACGGGACGGGCGGCAATGGTGATCATTGCAACGGCGTGTGCTCCCCTCAGGTAACGGGGGCAGGGTAACCTACGTACCCTCCAGTCCCTTTCCCACGCGCGCTGGGTTATGGGGCCAGGGTCGCCGGGAGGTGAGGACGCGGACCTAGGGGGAATCTGGACTGGGCGGCGCCGCAGGGGCTCGGTAGCCGGTGCGTCCTGCAGGGCGCGGGTTGCAGCGTCCCGGCCACCCACGCTCCCCGCGGGCGCCGTGAGCCCTCTCGTGTCCCCCGTCGGCCCAGGCCTGCCTACCCTGGCTGAGATGGTCCCGGTTGCGCGGCGCCCCCAAGAGGAGGGAAAGTTGGAACCTGGCGGCTAGGGACTTCCCGGGGCTGGGCTGCTGGGCTCCAGGGGAAAGTGAAGCCTTAGAGGAGCTGGACGCCGGAGGCTGGAGCAGGAGGGGCTTCTGCCAAGTCTGTACGGTCTTCCCACTCCCAGACCTGGGAGGATAAGACTCAGCCTTGCAGCATTAGTCAGGACTGAACCGGTGGCTCTGTGTCTTCTCTCTCCAAGCTCTGACTGGTGAGCCCCTAACGCGCGCGGACTTAATGGGTTGCTTAGGGCTTTGGGATTTTGAGAGGTTGGGTTAGACAGTTTTTTTCTTTGCCCTTTGACTTAGGGATTCTTGAGACTTTCCTTTCCTCCTTCGAAGAGGACTTGCCATCTGAACTAGGTCCCTTTCTCGTTTTTTTCCCATCTTATGCACCATCTGAGAGAGCTCGATTTCGTTCTTGGACTACATTAATGACTGCCGAGAGCAATAGAAAAGAGACGTCCCCCCTCCCCCCAAGTCTCATTTCTGCAGTCCGCTTTTCAAAGGACCCAAATTTAGGAATCAGAGCTGTGGAATGGAGTTATTGGAAGGCTGGCGTTGAAGGGTAGAGATGAGTTAGAGGAAAACTATGATTTCATCTTTATTGGCCTTACTATAGAAAACCTAGTACATTTTTCTTTGCCTCTGTTGAATGTGGTTAAGATTACACTTTCAATTAAATACTTGGCGACTTACATAAAAGACTATTTTTAGGTCACTGGATGATGTACATGAATAGCCTTTTCACCTGAATTGGAATTGCTTTGAGTATTCTGTTTGGCGGCCTGGTGTTTTTTGTTATTGTTCGTTTGTTTTTGTTGGTTTTGTTTTTTGTTTTTTTGTTCAGCCACAGTGTCTCTCCTTTACCTCCCCTGCTAAATGAAGTGTGTAGTGAAGAGAAAACATACTGCTTTCTGCAAAGTGGAAAAAAATAAAAATAAAAACCTGAAAGCCCAATCTTGAATTATCCACCAGGGTAAAACTTTCCGTGAGCAATCTTGGATACCCACTTCATGATGGCTTCTTTTGTAATCTCAAGAGCAGTTTAGATCTTTCAATTCACTGCCTACCCTAATTACTTTCCAAAGTGCCTGGCACGTCTTCGGTGGCTTTTTCAGTAAACTATAATTGCAGGTGAGGTACATTTCCTTGGCTTCCAAGATAGGAGTTAGTAGCCTTATCAGAGAGATTAACAGTTAACAGTGGAAACAGAGTTCATACCACTGCCAGTGAGTTCTGGCAATGACCAGCTCACAAACTATGTGAAAAAACAAACATCCCCTTCCCATAGATGTCAGAGGGGAAGAAGAGAAAATATTTTATCATGTCTATTTTGGAGAGAGTAACATGACTATGTTATGTGGGGGAAATTTCTTTAAAGCTTTTTGATTTGCAGCCCTCCTTTCTCCCACCTTCTGCGTAGGGACAGACATTTATGATTGGCTGGTTTCCAGTGTTGTGAGAAGTGTTTTGGTGAGAGGAAAAGATAAGCTTATTCTGAGTTATTAGGGTTCTGGCTATTCATTTTGTCTAGTAACAGTGCAGAGGAACTTCCACAGTAGTATTTGTACCCCATCAACATTCTGTCAGAATTCATTTTTAAGAGTCTGTCCTGAGGCCCATAAAGAAATAATGCCACTTTGTAACTGTTTTCTGACAGTCACATTAAAAGGTTCGTTCCTGAAATGCATTATATGTGTATGCATATAAACATTTATCTTTGTACATTTATGGTAATGAAAATATTTAAGTCGAGAGCTTAAAAACTTTTATTTGCGTATTTGCAAACATGCCTTGTAACAGCTAACAGTGCCAACCATATTTGCCAAATAAGCATCAACCATAAATTCAGACTTTGACACATTTCATATAATAACTCTTGTAAATTGCTCCATGGTGAAGCATCATGAGATTAGCATTTGCTTCATGAGAGGGATTTGTTGTTGTTTTTAACGGTAATGATGTGCTGTTTAAGGGGAACAGGTGCTGGGCTCTAGCTGTTTGTGTTGTAACCTGCCAAGTCATACTCTTTTGTTGGATGAGTTGTTAAAGCAATTTAGAAATCAAACTGTGGCCCCTGGCACGCCAAGTGTGAGTTTGAGGCTCCATATCACTTTTGCAAATCCCTATTTTCACTGTAAGAGGCAAGTGTGGATGTGAACTTTATTTTCTCCTTTGTCTTTTACTGTGATTCTTATGCCCTGTTCTTTCCATTATTAGAGCTTCTAGTACAGGCTTCTTCCCAGTTGGCTGGTTTTCCTTGGAGAGTTCTAATGTTCTTGTAACTTTCAGACCAAATTCACATTTGGACAAAACACAAGTATTTGAGTGTCTTTTAAAGTGCTAGGTATGGTGGTAGGACCTGAATATATGTAGAATGATCCTCTTTTTTGCTGGGAGTTTGTACTTTAGGAGGAGAGCTATCTGGCACCTGGTAATTACCATATGGTGTGCTATATGACAGGTGTGTGTACAGGTGCCTGTGAGGGAAGAAAGTATAGAGGAAGCTTGTTGATTCAAGACTTGGATTCTTGGCTATGGGGGATGTTCTGGAATCTTAGTGAGTTACTCAAGCTAATCTTGAATAATATATGAATCAACTAAGTTCAGAAAGAAGAAACATTTTAACCCAGTGCTGTTAAATTGAAAAATAAACTGCAAACATGAGTCATGTATGTAATTTGAAATTTCTAGTAGCTGTATTTTAAAAAAATGAGATTCATAATATAAAGTAAGCCAGCATTTAAAAATAATATAATTTCAACATGTAATCAATATAAAGCAGTAATACTAAGACATTTAACATTCTCCTTTTCATACAAATTCTTCAGAATTTGGTGGTATTTTTACACTGTAGCACATTTAAAATTAAGCCTAGCTCCGTTTCTATACGTCAATAGCACAGCTTTAGAACAAAGGCAAATGAAGTAAAATCACTGATTGTAAACCAAGTTTAGGAATTTTAACCTCTCCTTGAAGGCTGTGAAATTTTAGTTGAAAAACAAAAGCAGGGCTGGAGAGATGGCGTTTCTAGAAGACCTGGGTTCAATTCTGGGCCCTTAATACAGTGGCTCACAAATGTTCCTCTAGATCTAGGGGGTCTGACACTTTACTCTGGTGTCAGAGGACACCGGAAGACAAAACACCTACACACATAAGATAAACAAAATGCAAACAAAATACCTCACCACCACCTCCAATAAACCATCCTGCAATACAACCAGACTGGCTTAGACCTATCATTTTGACAGAGAAATGAAAGCTGGATTAGGGGGCATAACTAGAAGCAAGACCAGTTAAAAAGCTGTTTCTGGTGAGGAATGGCATAGAGTGTAGAGGAAGAGGAGTGGATGTAGGAGAGATTTGGGAAGTATTTTCAGTAGAATAGAACAAGTAGATTATAGAATAGAAAAAGGTTGGGTCCCGTGAGATGGTTTAGCCAACTTACTATCATCCCTTGGATGCACATGGTAGTAGAGAATCCCTTGCTACAAATTATCCTCTATTGTTCAAATGTAATGATGCCTCTCATAAACAAACGAATAAATAAAGACTGAAGATTAAGGATAATTCCTGTGTTTGTGTTAGGAGCTGCTAGGTAGATAGGACCAATAGCTAAGGGGGAAAAATCAATCATCTAGGCCAGATAGACCAAGGATGAAAAAACAAATACAGAAACAAAAACCAGAAAAACTGAAAGGGTTTGTCAGAAAGCTAAGAGAGGAAACTATTTAAAGGACTAGGAGTTGTCAACCTGTGTCCTACCATGAAAAGGGCAAGTAAGATACGGTTTGAATGAAGTCTCTGAGACTTGGAGATTAACTTGTTTGAAAGTAATTTAGAGCAGTTAGCTACATTGTAATTAACTGAGGAGGTTGAAGAGTATAGGACAGCTAGTAGTTTAGCTAATTGAGAAGGATACAGTGTTTTTCTTTTTGACTTTTCCTGACTGGATTATCATGGAGCCCAGACTTGCATTTTACTAGCTATGTTCCCAAAACTGACCTTGAACTCCTGTTCTTCTTGCCTCTAACTCCCCAGGACTTGGATTACCACCAGTGTTTGTCACCAAGCCCAAGCAAGTACAATGTTTGTAACCAAGGACTCTGAAAGAAAGTGTAAGGAGTCAGATGCTGAGATATTAAAGAAGTTTGCCTTTAAATGTTTTTTATAAATTAAGTGTCTTGGGCATGCTTATGTGGAACTGGGAGGACTCAATGGAGAGAGAAAGAGTGGGGGAGGGAGGAGAGGCCAGCGTAGAGGAAAAATGGGAGGAAGGGATGAAGAAGGAGAGAGGAAGGAAGGAAATGAGTGAACATCCTGGGCATAGGTAGAGAATTTGGTCTTGGGTGTCTTAGGGTTTCTATTGTGACAAACACCATGACCAACAGCAACCTGGGGAGGAAAGGTTTCATTTAGCTTACTCTTCCACATCACTGTTCATTATTGAAGAAAGTCAGGACAGGAACTCAAAGAGGGCAGAACCTGGCGGTGGGAAGCTGGTGCAGAGGCCATGGAGGAGTGCTGCTCTCCATGGCTTGTTCAGCCTGTTTGGGTTTTAGTTAATTTCAGATGTAGTCCAGTTGACAACCAAGAATAACCATCGCAAACGGCAGGGTAAGTAAGTTTGAAACTGATAGAAGGGAAAGAATTAACAGCTTGTCTTATGCGATTTTGATTAGCCATTAAGAATGAAAGGGGGCGGGACGGTGGTGGCCCATGCCTTTACTCCCAGCACTTGGGAGGCAGAGGCAGGCGGATCTGTGAGTTCGAGGCCGGGCTGGACTGATAGCCTCCAAAACAGAGAAACCCTGTCTCATAAAACCAAAACAAAAAACAAACAAACAAAAAAAAAAGAATGAAAGGGAGTTGGTAGAACAGAGGTTGAAAAGAGTATGTGAGTAAATACTGGAGAGCAGAGAGGCAGATAGACACATGGCCAGGGAACTGAAGAATGTTGAGGAACTGTTTGAGGTTGTAGACCTTGGATTTATTGACATGGCGGTTGGATTTCTGATTATATCTGGAGAATCTATTCAATATTCATGAGACCCTTATCTTATCAGTGTACTCTGTGTTGGTAAGATGCATAGTGAGAGTTCAAACCTTACTGATACGTTCAGAGCCCAGGTTATTGCCAGCTGCTTTATAGGTAACAGTTTGGTAGAGATACCTAAAAATAGGACAGATTGTATGAAGAATTGTGAAG